CAGGTCAAAGATAACAGCGGTACGAAGTACAGTACTGTACGTCATATGTGCGTTGTTGTTACTTATACAGTAGTTATCCAATTATACATACAGTACTATGTCAGTACTATATAGGAAAAGACTTGCGTTAGATTTCGATCCTGTTAAATTGGGGAAGCCGCTTCTACTTTTTGTTTATTATTATTTTTTACTCTTTTCGCCCTACAAGCACTAAGAAGACTTCGTTTTAATCACGCTAATTATGTGTTTGGTTAGGCCCACAATAGAGGTGGCCGGGTCGGACATATTTAGGACAGACTGTCCACAATAGTTTTTGTGCTAGTCTGTTTAACGTCACTCTTTTTCCATCTAGAAGTTTTTATGTAGGATATATACCATATACACGAGTAATGCAATTAAGTGCTTCTACAGTTGAGAGAGCCAGTGACGTCAAAGTCATATGACATCTGCAGTTAATTACCGTGATGATTGATTCCTACTTTTACGTGCATGTAAATGTAGCCTCATTCTTGTGAAATAGTGTAAAATTATCTCGATTTCTTAATAGTATGGCGACCAACAATTTGTGCCAAGATGTAAGTTAGAAGTGAAAGAAAAATTAATTTCAGAATTATTTTCTCATGGTCAAAAGTGTTCTCCGACGATCCGCCATGTTGTTTGTTTAGTAGTTTTACTTGTAGAAACTTACAAGCATTATGATAGGTTTATAGCATATCAGAGCGATATTTGTAATAGCATTTTATCGTTACTTTTCTCTCAAAAATGTAACTCACTTCTTTTATCGCGTCGCAAATTGCAATCGTTATTGTATGAAACCACAACGATTGCAATTTGCAATCGTTTAAAGCAATGAGCAAGTGATGCAAGATGATTCTAAAATTGTCGCGAGTTACCTCACACCCAATTAACATTTAAAATTTAAATAAATTATTGAATATCACTGTTTGCAATATGTATCAAAGGAAATATTGTTATTAATTTCTACATCTTCATCTATAAGGAGGTTGTGGCTAATTTCTGGATAGATCTTCCCACGCGGCGACGACGTCATTGTTTAATACTATGTTATACCTTTCTATAATTATACTGTTGTAATTACTATTATTCTTTTTTAAATGTCTTATTGAAACTTGGGTTGTGGCCAGTGTACTAATAAATAATATATTAAATTAGAAGAAACAATCCGAGGACGAATTATTGTTTATTTTTATACATTTTGCACAATACATAATCATTTTTTATACCAAGGTTTTCTTATTATTGTTAATATTAAAAAGTATAATTCTATCTTCGGGCATTAACATAAAAATTCAAGCAGTTTCGGAATATTTAATAAACTTAATTATAAATATTAAAAGAATACAAATTGTCAAGTATTATTCCAATTTACTTTAACTCACAATATGTTATATGTATTATTATTATTAGAAGGTTTATAGAGCCTAATCAAAAATCCAGGTGAAGAAACTACAAAGAGAGTGAGGAGACAAGAAAGAGGACAGACCACACACACACACATATACATATATATATATATAAATACAATATTGGTTGATAAATGTTAACTATCGAATATGAAAATGATTGCTACAGTATAAGCCTAAGCATATAGATTTTATTGTACTTGGTTTTAAGAGCACTTTTTACAATATTACGTTATTCTAGTGTATTTATAGTGTTAACAATGTTGTACAAGTCACTTAGATTTTACAAATACGTGAGCCGTTCACAGCCCGGCACACGTATTTGTAAAATCTAAGTGACTTGTACAACATGGAATTCATATAAAACGGAAAAATTAACAGTGTTATGGGGGTCGACTGTATTATTTATGTATTTATTTCAATAATCCTATATCCTTTTTAATTTGTAAATAATTCGGTTATAGAATTCATTTTAGTAGCCTAATCATATACTAATTATGATTTCTAAGAATTGCTAAATTATCATTCGAAATTGGATTAATTTATTATATATATTTCCTAAATTAATATAATTTACTTAAACAGATAACAAACAATATTTTGAATATTAAGCACAAAACTTTACTGATTGGAAACATTTTTTGAAATTTTTTGTGACTTTTCTTTTACTTTTTGAATTTGATCTTTAGATACGGTCTTCAGATCGAATGCCAAACCGATAGCGGCCATCATATCGATGAAGAATGTGCTGAAGTTGAAAAACCAACCCAACTCACTAGTAGAATAATCCCATGGAAAAGTGTGATGATAATTATGAAAACCTTCACCGATAGCCAGCAAGGATACTAATAAATTTTCTCTGGGATTTATGTGCTTGTTATAAGGTCTCTGACCATANAAAAAACAAAAAAAAAAAAAAACTTTTTCTAAACGGAAACCTGCCAAACCAGAAAGGAAATCGTTCCTTTTTGGCAGATTTCCGTTTTATTTAGGTTCCGTCTTGACAGGTTTTGCTGTGTGAGTAAAATACATATTATAAAGAGTCCCTACTCTCTCTTGAAAGGTTATCTATCAAGAATTTGAATAATATAAAAATCTTAAAATTCGCTTATAGCTTGCTGAAAACTTTACTAATAATCTGTGTAAATTGCTAAGCAACAATATTAAATAATATTTTATTTTTGTTTATCTTCTGCTTGCTAAGCAACAATATGTATTGCTACTTATTGAGCAATGATGGAGTGATACAAGTCAATGATTTTGGCAATTTGATTAAGTGAAAAGACGGAAAATAAGTGTAACAACAGTAGCTACAAATGCTTTAATGATTCGAATTTATTAAGTACTGTAAAATTAGTATTTTACTATTAATTAATATTAAGTGAATTAAATTATTATTGCGAGTAATTTAAAATTGAAACTAAAATTGAAATTTCTAAAGTCTTATCTATCTGCGATATTCATAATCTATAAATAATTTAATAGACCAATTGGATATGAAAATAATGCAAATTATAAATCAGCTAACAGAAAAAAAAAAACAAATAATCTTTGACGTCAATGATTTTTCAATACGAAATACTGATTTATCTTGAATTGTTTGCGCCTGGAGACAAGTTATCAATCACTCCTTATCAGTTTATTATTCATTGAATTGTATAACGTATCTCATGTATTTGATTGAATCGACTGAATAATTTTATTAGTGAAACAAAAAATTTTATTCTATACGTTTAATAATCTAAAGTACTTATTTTTATTTAAAATCAAGCAAGAATGAGCTTTAATTGTTATAACTTTTTAGCCCACCGTAGGTGGAGTGGATGAAATCACTAAGCATTGGTAGTAAGCTGCTAAAGGGATGGTCACGTGGAGTTTTCGGGTCTTCTTCATGTTTAACACTTAAAAAGGGCAGTTGCCCATAAAAGACCTCCCGGGAGGTATTCCCTCTTTGACAGATCGCTCATGTGTAGCACTGCGGTATACCAATTAAACCAAATCAAAACCAACCCAATGACTTTTTAAAGGTTATGTTAACGTATTAATTAATAAAATACACCTAGTTATACAAATTACTCTCAATATTATATTATATGATTTTCTACGACACAAGGAACTAAAGGGTGATTCTTTCGCTATGAAATCCAAAATATTCTTCAATCTTTTTTAGAACTTAATGGTTCTGTATGGTCTCATTTTCAACAACACCTTGTTTGCAAGATAAATTCACATTGTTTACAATGTGAATTTTCATACGAAGTCATAAAACAATATAAAAGTTTATTGAGGAGTGTTTGGGTCTCCTTGAGAAATAATCATCATATTATTAACTGCTACTAGTTTTAAAAGTAATATATATGTTTAAATTATTTATTGTCTATCTAAGTATTGATAGTTTATTTTTGAGCGAAGATCTCCCGCAGTTTCCTTTCTTTGGTTTGCTTCTCTCATCTACTCTTTCCTAATAACTTTATCTCTCTACCTATTGACTCCCCTTCTGCTATAAATGCCCCTGTTTCATCATCCCATTTCTCATTCTCAATCTTGCCACATGCACTTCCCAATTCCGCTTTTTATTCTCTACATGATGGCCTGAGATCATAAATATTGATTAATTTTCCTACTTCTAAGCATCAGTTGGAACATGCTCTTCTTCATCTTTCTGTATATTAGCTTACTTAGCTTAATCTCCATACCCTTTGTTTCTAAACCTTTGTTGTAATCTCCATCTCCATAATATAAAAACAGTAAATATTATTTTTGTTTTTCAACTTCTTAAATCATTCATTTAAGAATATAACAGCGAGGATAAAACCGTCTCATCATTAAATCATATAAATGGACAAAACTCATAATCTTTCATTTGGACCTTAGTGTTTAGATTAATCGTCCATATATTTATGTAACGCATGCTCAAGTATATATAAAAATATAAGATTTATTCATGAATTAATGAATAAAATTACGCTTAGCCTTTTTATGTTCTCGTGTCATAATTAACAAAATGGCCGTGGTTTGGAGGTTAAGTGAACATAACCTCCAAACAACGGCCGTTTTCTTTATGTTCCCATCAGTGGACGTTGTAGAGGGTTTGACTGTTATAAATAAAATATTATACTCTGTTTATACTTTGAGGAAGGATTTTTTCAAACAAAAGATTATACAAAAGATTATTCAGAAAACAATAAAATTTTCATGTTTTTATTATCAGAAAATATTCAAAAGATTATATAAAGTTTTTTTTTATGTTTTCTATATAAAATAATAAATTAGTTTTCGTTACACTTTTGTGAAAATAATTATGAAAGATCTCTAACTGTTATGACGTTCTCACTAACATAATTTTAAGTGTAGCTTATATATTATAACAAATATTTATTCATTTAATTTATTATTAATTAATGTTATAAAATTTAAGTAAAATATAATAAAATATAGAAAATTATGTTATACTCTATCTACTCTAACTATCTACGAAACAGCTTATTGCAGCACCATAACTTATCAAGGTATGGATGTCACAATGCCGATATTATTTGCCGATATTATTCTTAATTTCATAACATATTTGAACAGACGATGATAAATAATTGATAAAGGAAGATATTTAATCAATCGGAAACTCAGTTCTGTCACATTTGCTTCTGAAAGAAGAAGAAATCAGAATGAAATATTTGTGCATTGTTGCCCTTCTCGCAGTCTCCCTATACGAGGTAAGCTCAATTTTAAATTGTGAAAAGAAATTTAGTTTAAATGTCGGTTATTTAATTTATTAACTAGCAATTATAAATCTTTTATTTTAATTATTACCATAATTTTGTAATATTGATTTGTACAAATTGAGACGTGGTTAGAGAGACTCACGCCTACCATTCGTGGAACGGATAAAAACCACTGAATACTGGTCACGGGTTCACACCTGACAACAGTCTGGTCGCGTGGAATTTTTCGCGTTTTCCTCGCGTATCTAATACCCAAATGGGCTCAGCTTCTTATAGAAAGTCCTCCTGAGAAGCATCTTGCCTTTTCAGATCGCCCATGAGTTGAGTTGCCTCATTTAATCTATCTTCGAATCCATACCACCTGGTCGGGATTCGAGGACGGGTTTAATTGAAATCTGTATAATTTACAAATAATAAAATAATTTATGTAATTTTTTTTAAACAAATTATTTTTTTTAAGCTACGTACAACGCTTTATAGATTAGATTTCTATAACCTCTACTAAGAAACTTTGTTTTAAATCTCTAGAAATTTCAAATTATCTTTAAAAAAATTTACAGTTTTGTATAGTTTTCTTAAGTTTATTATTGATTTTCATTTTAAAAATAACAATAAAATGTTTCTGAAATTTGTTCGATCACACGCAAATTAAGATATAAATCAATTTTCTAATATTCATACTGTAATAATAATATTTGCTGTAAAAAATATGGCTTGTTAAAGAATTTTCCAGTGAAAATAGAATTAAAACATATCAATTATCTAATGCAACAGATCAGAAATTTATCTCTTATTGATAAAAATTGATAAGGAATAACTTTTATCCTCTATTATTCTAAGATTTTCTATCGACAATCTTTAATACGCAGAGATCAAGCATTGAGTTGATTATTATCTTTAATTATTGTAATATTATGTTTAATTACACTTTCCTGTTATTAAAAAATTCGATAATAATTACTAATTTAATTAAATTTTCTACAATTTATTACATACTCTAACAAAGTTTAATTAAAATTATGTTTTGTAATTAATTAATTCTACATTTTAGGTAGCAGAGGGATATGCATTTAAGCATTGCAAATCATCAGATGATTGTTCTGCTAAGCAATGTTGTGTTCGATTAACTCCTGATATACCTTACATATCATTCAAGTTGAACAAATGCAAAGCTCTTCGTGGGGAAGGTGAGTTTAACTTCTCTTTTGGATATCATCGTGAAAAATTGAGATTCAACATATAATAATACATTTTTCACGAATTCAATCTTAATTTTGAAGAACTTAAACTAATATTTAATCACGAGTCAATTTAAAAATTAATTTGATGGAAATATATAGGCTTAAATTATAATTTTTCTTAAATTCGATGAAAAAAAAGGAATTTGTGATTAACATTTTTCCATATTTAGGAGGCATTAATGCTTAAACATGTCCTTTTTTTCTTATTTATATTAGGAAAAGTATGCAATCCCAATGACGACGATGAAGGCGTGTATATGTTCCAATGCCCATGCAAAGAAGGTTTACAATGTGTTGAAGAATCTAAAAAATCTTCCTCAGAGGTATAAAATGAAATTCTGTTATCCGTAACAATGTTTTTTCTAAATAAACTTTATAGCATATATATATATTGTTTTTTCTTGTAGGATTCTTCTTCATCTTCATCCGAAGAGGTAGAATATAGATGTCGTGTTCCTTCTACTGAAGCACCAGAAGAAAAAACCGAAGCACCTGTTGAAGAAACCGAAGCACCTGTTGAAGAAACCGAAGCACCTGCTGAAGAAACCGAAGCACCTGCTGAAGAAACAGAAGCACCTGCTGAGGAAACTGAAGCCCCTGAGACTGAAGGCGAAGGCGCAGAAGACAAACATGAAGAAAAGCCAGAAGATTCTGATGCTTAAAACTCAACGCAAATGAATAAAGACAAATTACATGTATTTAATTTTTTAATGTAAAAAGTTAGAAGAATTTTTACAGTAGACAATAAAAAGAACTTATACTTTATTAAGATATAATTTGTTATAAATATTTAAGAAAATTTATTTATGTTCATTATTATTTTATAATATAAATGAATTAAATGATACGTTTTTACTTGTACATTTTAATTTCCATATTTATTGATTTAAAAAACTTCACTTAAAAACTTCATGGAAGCATACTTCCTTTTAAATTTTACTCATCGATTTACATATTAAGAATTGACAAAATGCTTTTTGAGCTGTTTTCGAGATAATATAGTCACACTCTTTAGTTCTTTTTCTAAATTATGAAATTAGGATGAAGTTAAATTATAGACTATCATTTCAATCTGTTAACGACAAAAATCGAAACATTAAAGGGTTTCAGCCTATTGTTCATGGGGGACACAAATTCGAGTTTAGATAAAGAACCATAAAAATATTCATAGACGGTCCAAGTTCTTCATCACTAGCTACTTGGTGGCTTTCTTTTCGGGCCTGGCGGAATCCATGATAGGATTGAATTGGATTTATGGAGTAAAGCAATGCAACACTTGAACAATCTATCAAGGAAGTGCTTCCCGGAATGACTTTCTATAATTAACTGACCCCTATTTAGATGTTAGACACATTAACAAAACTCCACGTGGCTAGCCCGTTGGTCAGGCGCGAACCCGCGACTAGCGTTTAGTGGTTTTTATTCGTCCGGTCACTGATGAGCACGAAACACTTATGGGTATTATTAAAAATGCCCTCTTGTTGAACACAATACGGAAATTGTTAATTAAATACTAAAAAGACAAACTATATTAAAAATGGTTCCAAAGTAACGAATCAGCACCATTCTGCATCTGAAACTACATTGCAAATGCAGAATGATTGAATTCATGTTTGAATTAAACCATCTCATATGATACATTAACTCTACTTTAATTAAAATGCAGATGAAGAACCAGTATATCTATCCCCTATAGCCAAACTTTTGCCGAAAAGAGGCTACAGCGCTCGAAGTGGCAGAAATATTTATTACTCCACTTTCATAGCATTATTATTATTCGTAACCTAGAGATCAGTATATCTTTCAACTCTGCCTTTACTGTTTATTCTAATTGTTAATTAAAGAACTGGCAACAGTAAAATAGAAAAATTATTTGATAAAAAAGCCTGTTAGTCACTGAACTTCAAATTATTATTATTTATAACTGCTTCGTTTTATTTATTACTTTTAAACTTTATTTAAACTTTTAAACTTTTTAATGGGATGTATGGCTTATACTTATTTGGTAACTGTAAAGAACTTATATCACAGCCTAAGATAGAGAGAAATTGCCTTGAACATAAATTACCATCTTATAGTGAGCATAGTTTCTACTTCTTCATATTCGGTAGTAGAAGAGAATTCTTGTATATTAATGCAAGTAAAATAAAATGAAAGCGTTGGCTTGTATTGTGTTATTCTTTCATTTATGGAGCTGACCAATGGTCGAGTGGATAAAAACCACTGAATGCTGGTCGTGGGTTCGCGCTTCATCAAAAGGCTGACCGCGTAGAGTTTCCGGATTTTCTTCCTGTGTTTAAAACTCTTCCTTTCCTTTGCATACTTTTACGCAACGAGTTAAGGCCTACCAGTGGCCAATTGGTTCCGTTTCTTGAACACTGGGAGTTCAATCGTGGGTTTGCGCCTCGTCCGGACGTGGAGTTTTTCGGGTTTTCTCTACGTCTGTAACGTCTGAATAGGGTCCAGTTACTCTTAAAAGACCTCCCGGAAGACATTATTCCCCGCGTAACGACCATATAACTACTATTACATGACACAACACTACCATATATAGGCGATATAGCCTAGAAGCTCATGCCCATCTAGCTGATACAAAGCAAGACAACGAATTAGAATATTTTAGTTCGTTGCCTTTACACAACACAAATGCCAAGCTCCCTCGACTAAAAGGAAAAAGGCGGACGCGTATTCAATTTTCTTCCGGTGTCGCTCATGGGCGTAGCCAGAGTTTTGTTATATTCACCATTTTGACATCAATATTGTAAATTTTATGGTACTAAGCCAGGTAATGTCTACTCTGTGTTAAGGAACTTATGGTCGCGTTTTTATGTACGGACCCAAAAATCTGTGCCTCTCTTGTTTTCTTTTGTAAATACTATTTCCCAGTAGCGTACCGTAGTGGGGGCGGCAGGGGCGGCCCGCCCCGGGCGGCACTTTTTAGGGGGCGGCAAAATTTTACAATAAATAACAATAATATCTTGTAAAAATTTGAAACATCCTAATCTACACTTGCATCACGCCTACGACAGTGCTATTGTCCGGACAGTCCGGGAATCGGCTCGCCGGGTAAACTAGTAACTTTTTCATCCGATGAATTCCTGCGAAACCTGTCGACCTTTTTTTTCTTGTACGATTCATTTGCGTTCATATACACCACTAATATCCAATAGAACTATTTTAAACAGGTCGCTGCACTACCATCGAATTTTTCATTGCTTGTTCTGTGACAAAACTGAATTTGGGTCTTTTAAATTGAAATACCTAAATAAGGGGGACCGAAATTTTCCTCCGCCCCGGGCGGCTGACACCCACGGTACGCCACTGCTATTTCCATATGTAACTTGTTTAAGTTTTAAATAAAGTTTCCGGTGCGGCTCTTGACCTCCCCTTCCACTTCTCACTTTTCTTCCACTTTCCGCCCACCTTCGACCACTGCCACAAAAGACCTTCCCTCCGACTAACCCTTCTCACTTCTTTTCATCTCTTTGAGGATATACCACTGAGTAATGCCTCCTATCCCCCTATAAATATTGAAAAATATTGAAAATATGGGGGGGGGTCTAGTAGAGGCCAACCTGACACAAAATTGAATTATTTCAAATTATTGTTTATTAAAATGAAATTTCCGTAAGAATCGACAATAACTTAATACACATAAAATATGAAACTTCCTTTAATCATACGTTCTCGTAACATTAATATCAAACTCTAGCAATGCCTTAAACAAAAATTAATCAATCATTTTTTTTACCATTCTTTAATATAGTTCACCGCCTTTAATCTAGATATAGACTGCGGCCGGATGGCCGAGCAGTCAAGGTGGCAGCCTACCGCTCTGGGGTACCCGGGCTCGAATCCGAACGGGTCAAAAAGTTCCCAGGAATTTTTCGGGGGGTGGTCCGTTCGGATATGTCTGACCTCGTCCCTCACCCCCCGACAGCACCATTGTGGGCCTGGCCGAACCCATAATGGGCTTGCAAAATAAGAGGCCTCTTAGTGCTCACAGGGCGGAAATAGTAAAACAAAAAAATCTAGATAAAGACCAGGGGTGGCCAACAGTTTTCTCCTCCGGGCCGAATTGGAAAGAAAACTTTTTCCACTGCCCGAACCAGAGGTGGCCCTAGCGAGATCTTATTGTGGCGTCACTCCGTAGAGACTAAACTGTACATAGGTATTACAGATACACTTTTCACATTGGGCACAGAATGACGTTGACCTTTTTTTTCTTTTTTTAATAAGATCAACTTTCCTATAACTTCACATTGTCAGGTTGTGGAGAATTATCGCGTATCCATTCAAGCAATTACTGCACTGTATTTGAAGTTCAGTCCAATATTCAAATTAATTGCAGGTCGTGGTACACTACACCCGGTTAAATTAGCTTCAACTTTTTATTTCTTTTTGCAAATCGGCTCAATACTTTTTCGGCTGTAATTTTCTGGGGAGGGCACCAGGTTAACTGGGGGGGCCTTGCCCACCCATACCCCTTCCTGGCTACGCCCATGGTGTCGCTATAACCACTCTATGTAGTATATTCTAGCTCGTAGTGTGAACCGCTCGGCCATCCGGTCAAATATTGGAAGAACTATAGAATTTTTGACAAAATAATTTTAGAAATGAATAGAATTTTTAAGTATTAATTTTAAATTTTATAAAGCAAAGAAATTACATATAATTTATTTATTTCATACACATTTCTTATTTTGTTAGTTTCAAGATTTCGACATCAGGCGGAAGAAACCCAGTAGTCACGTGACCGGAACAACGTTCTCAAAACAAATATGGCAGTCAATAGTCAAGTGCATTGAAATGTTTAAACATAAAGTTTCTAAATGTAATAATAAGATAAGCAAATGACATCGTTTCACCAAAAAGACTTGTCCATTTTACAGGAAACAGAAATGAGATACGAAGCGGGTGAGATGATCTTACTTATGTCTTTAGAATTTCCTTTCATTTATGCATCAGTAATTTGTTTAATGTAAATATTTTAACTCTTTCGAGATAATATGAGATATAAATCATACTTAAATTCAGATTAATGAACAGTTGTTACAGATAAAAGTAAATATGAAGCTACAATTTACATTTCACTATAAACTGAAAGAAAAAGCAACAGAATACCTGAAATTTGCAATTAATTATCTGTTATAACACAGTTGAACAGAAAGATTTTATATTTACTAGAGTAAATGCAGCTCAGAATGAAGAAGTTGAGACATTTTCAGAGCTGCAAAGCTTGCCGAAGGAGTAGATTTCCCTGTATAAGCAAAACAGTCACTGGAACCATATCTTTGTGAGATATTCATAATCAAAGGTCAGTTTTTACCATGCGCCAGTACTACTATTCGTGCTCCATGTTGGTCGAGGCAAATGATAGCTTGTCTTGACTGATGTTCCACATATAGTTGTGTGCTTCAATGCAAGCAATAGCAAGCAGCAAGCAACTTGGTGCCTAAGTGCGGGCGAGCTCCACACTCCCTAAAACTAGATAACATTGTGCATTGTGTACTCCATGAACAGTGAATTAGGTTATTCAAAGCTGGTGTAGTTGCATGGGCTAAATACAGTAGTTAAATGTGATTCCTGATTGCATACAACTGAGAAGTAGGCTGAGGGTCACATGTGTGGGTATGGTTCCTTTGACATTTTGCTTCTATGGGTATGGCCTACAGCTCTGGTAATATCCCAACCATCTCATTCAGAGGTGTAATTGTATTGTCATGTATATATACATATACATATATATATTTGTGCCATACATTATATACAATACATACATTATATATATATATATATATACTGCAACTAAAAAAAAAAAAATGTGTATAGATTTATATAC